TTTGTCCAAACAACAGAACCCATAGAAAGCTTTAGAAGATGGTGCTACTTTGATGACAGTGACCTGTGTGGCTCTCTGAGTATGTTCTTCACCTATCTAGAGACATCTTTCTAAGCCACGGACCTTGCTTTCATCATTTAACTCATCATTCAAACCACTTCAGCGAAACAGTGATCATGCTGAAGAGGGGTCTCCGAGGACCAGATGACACTCCAATTAACTAAGCACATTGAGCTGGATTGTTCTGTGCCTTGGACTCGAGAGACTGGCAGAGAGAGGAGGCAGACAAAGGCAGAAAGAGCGAGGGCCCAAGTGAAAAGAGCAAAATGCATGTGCTAAAGACTGGGCTTTCAGCGTGACTCCTGCGGAAAAGCCTGTCAACAGATTATTCCATCGTAACAGGGTTTATAATAACCCACCAGAGAGAATCACAAACCGGAGCATGGCCTTGCAGAGCATACCCAGTGAGAGTAACACTATGGGACTGGCCTGGTGCCTTTTTAAATGTATATGCATCGTCCTGGGTGCTGCAGGTACAAAGCTAGAAAAGGTATATGTTTACTTATTTTTTACCCAAGAAGGGGCAACTAAAAATCCAGCTTTTGCAAACATGGCTATGACGCAAATGAGACAACAATATACAGGGAATAACTAATTAGTGAACAACAACAGTGGGACTATCCTCAAGCCTCTATGTGGGAAAGATAGAAGTACTGAGCTGCCTGTAAAATTAAAAAAATGTGCCCTAAAATGTTTTAGGTTCTCCTCACCCTTAAAGATTAAATAAAATCATCAAACTTGGTAAAACAAAGTCCTTATTATGTAACAAACTCATTTTCATTTTAAAGTATAGCTCTGAAGTCTTGAGTAACAACCAGCAGGGTGAACAGACCCAGTCAACTGAATCACTGCGAGCTTTCTCGAAGAGCCAAACAGATATTTTGGGGGTAGGATTAATGCTCCCAGTTTGTCCTAGTTCAGGAATCTTGTACCCTTGCTAGAGGGTCTTGCTTCTTTTTTCTTTTCTTCTTTCTTTTGCATTGCTACACGAATTCCTGTCAGAAAGGTTCAAGGAAAAGGTGCAAGCCCACCTGGGTTCTTTTCCCATTACCAAGTGTGCCCACTAAACCCCATATATGGCAATGACCTTTATTTTATTTTTTGTTAATCCTCACCCAAGGATATTTTCCCATTGATTTTTAGAGAGTGGAAGGAAGGGGGAGAGACAGAAAGAGAGAGAGAAACATCGATGTGACAGAGACATATCGATTGGTTGCCTCTTGAGGCCGGGGATCGAGCCTGCAACTGATGTATGTGTCCTTGACCAGAATCAAACCTGCAACCCTTCAGTCGGCAGGCTGACGCTCTACCCACTAAGCAAAACTGGCTAGGGCTGGCAATGACCTTTATTTGGTTCCATAACTAATCCACACAAGGAGAACTACAACACATTTAAAGATCTGAGTTGGAAACCATAAGCCAAAAACACAGAAAGGGGCCAAATTCTTCCCATCTAGTAAAACTGCCATGCTCTAGTCAAGCAGAATAATCTCATTTTTCCCTTTTTAAGGGTAATTTCCATCTTTATATTACTTCTGCCAACTCCAAACATTGCATACAGCTGACACAATTCTGGAAGAGACCCACTTTATCCCAGAAACAGGGATGCTGAGCTGCGGAGATGGGGGCAGTTCTGTTCCTAGATAAAAGATAGTCTGATATTAAAGATTCTTTGCTTAAGGCACAAATGTACCTGTCTGTGGCTTTTTATATGGCGCATTTTAGCGGCATATAGCATCTTTTATGAAAGAGT